TCTCCAAGGGCCGGGATGCTGCATCGCTGGTCTAGGGATTTGAAATCCCCATGGCACCCATACCTCTCAGCATGTATGGACAAGAGGCTTTCTAATCGCTCAACACCATCACATGGACAGATCAGAATCCATCTAGCGGCTAACCTGTCCTGTCAGAGCTGCGGACCACCCCCTCAGTTCTGATGACACACATCACGACCAGTGGTTAGAACGGGCATCCCTGTATGGCCAGTCTAGGCATGGTGTCACCCCTATGGTGGACCCCCATAGCAATGCCACTGCTCATAGTGTCCCTTCTCCCTGAGGTGGCGGTGCTGCCCCCTGAAAAATGCCACTCAAGGCAGACGCCTTGTTTGCCTCGTAGTAGATACGCCCCTGTATGTAAACCTACAGCCCTCTGATGTGTGTTTGCTTTTCCAATTTTAACTGCCTATTTGCAACAGCAAGGACACACAGGTACATGGTGCTCAATATCTCATGGAACCTATTATTGACTCTCGCTGTACAGTATTAGCTTGTAGGGGTTATCCACATTCAACTGGATTTGCTCGGTAATGTTGAAGGTGTTTCATCACTCATACTAGTGGCTTCCTTAGTCCTAACATGTGTCAGGAACATCCCCCAGCATTTAAAACAACATGGGTAACTAATTCACCCTAATTCAGTTTAGTTACTCGGTGTCATGAAATGTGTAAAAGCAGATGTTGTTTGTCCAAGAAAATAATGAGGATGTTAAATTTTTTGAAATCTACCTATTCTAATTGCCATAATCCAATTGCCATGGTGCTGTACAGTCTAGTATACGTGTTTAAATATTTGACTTTCATGGCTGAAGGTGTGGCTTGTTGTCAAATCGTGTAAATAAAGATATTAAAATTCCTTTATATGTGCGTAATAGGTGGGGTTGAAGACCCTCATCCTGGTTTAGGGATGATTGCTACAGTTTAAGCACTTCGCCTCTCACACTTGTTCACCCTCTATGGACCAAAGCAATTTTCACATTTCTGCTATGGACCTGTTTATTTGGCAATAACTCTGCCATTACTAAAGATAACAAGGTAATGCATGCAATGTTTTTTAAGGACAAACAAGGCTTTCTTTTCATGATATTGTCTTGCGACTACGATTTATTTTATTTGCAATGCTTGGACAATACAATGCAACAAAACTAAACAAAATGCAGTTTTTCTTTTTTGAGCAGTGTTTGTTTATATAGTACCCTCTAGTGTGTGACTAGAATAGTGTAATGTATTGTAGGTAAAATCATTGCGTATGACTCATGGTAACTGCGTGAGTCTGTGATTGAGGTAAGGTTATTCCAGGTCAGCTGGATGACTTAACAAGATGTGGCTCTATCGCCTCCTCCTGACTCTGGAGAACCAAAGAACCTTCCAGAAGTCGGTAAGCAGGAAGGGATGCAGACCTAATCTGCATATTTATGGTAGTCCGGCCAATCTCAGGTTTGGAGACACTGGTGGAGTGGTGGACTGGCCCATAAATATGGGGGATTCAGGCTAACAGAGTCGAGTCGGGTGGAAGTTGGAGTGTTGAAGAGACTGTCAGTGCCTGGGAAGGTCCCCTAGGTCTAGGGGAGCCAGCCTCTTGGCTGGGCTTGGGCTGGCTCAGGAGGATACATTCAGCAGTGAGGCGTGAATGAGATCTGGAGCAGCAGGGATCAAAGAGGACAGAGTGGGTATAACAGCATTCTGTGGGTTCTACAAAGAGGAAAGACTGGCACACGTAGCAAGCTTTCTAAAGACAGTGCTGAGCTCAATCCTTTATCCCTGTCCCGGGAGATCTTCTAAGCCAGGAAAGCTGGTAGTGTTTGCAAGCCTGCAGCTGGAAGCAGCTCTACAGGGGCATCCCTGCATGTAGTTACAAGAAGTTAAGCTGATTTTTAAGGAGCTGCTAGCTCCTTGCCCATAAAGGGCTGCTACTACTGATCTGCAATGACTGATGGCTTTCAAGAAAAGAACAGTCCAGGATCTGCCTTTGTGTGTCCCCCTTTCATTGATTCAAGCCAACTGGGCAGCCCATAATCCCTGTTTCCCTATCCAAGTTGATTTCCACTAATAAAACAACAAAAAACCAAGCCCATGGACTGGTTACTGTCTCTTGGATGCAAGTCTGTGTGAGAAATACCTGTTGCATGGCTGTGCAGAGGGAAGCTTAGGCATACCTACAACACAGCAACCCTCACATGGCTGGTGCTAAACTTAAAAATAGTGTTACTGCGCAAAAATGTCCACATAATATTCTGTAATTTGTTCTGTTTAAATTGACACTAAACTCTTGATTCTGGTATAAAGAATTGCAAAGTTATTTACAAATTAAAGTGTTACAATACGCACAACAGTAAAACCAGTTGTATATGTAGTAAATCATGATTGTTATACTCACTGTGGAATCTAAGGGGTTAATCTACTGATTGTGTAAAATGCTGTTTGATCCTGACTTCTCTGATCCTCTCCTTCTTCCAGTGCTCCCTTCTTATCTCCTGATAAGACATGTTATGGTGTGGAGACACTCTGCTCATGCTTAGTTTGGTGTGTATTGCTAGAGAGGTTTTTTTTTCTTGGGAGAGTGCATGTGATCAGCACAATGCCAATCACCTCTGTCCAGACAGAGGTCAGTAGTTCGGCATCTTCCTAGAGAAGAAGAAAGAAAACCCCTCCTACAACCTTTAACCAGTGCTCTGCTGAACACTGATAGAAGTCACAAGACTGCTCTTACTGATGATGATAAAAGGCATTTAGCAGTTTATATTTACTAAAATAATTTTTCCATGTTCTCAGTGCTGTGGGAGACCAGATATAGTGAATGCAGGGTCCTGGGTTTAGTAACACTTTAAATAAAGTGTTTTTTTTTTCAGTTTTGCACATTTTTAAGTGAAATGTGTTTATATATATGATAAATGTGTAAAAATATCACAAAAACAGTACACTTTGAAATAATAATAGTTATTAAAATAGAAACAAAAAATCAGCATAACAACATTATCTGAAGAGAGAAATAGACCAAGGAGTTAATTAGGGCTGATTAGAGTAAACTAGGGGCTAATAAGGGTTTAAATTGAGGAACATTTTATTTTAAAAAAAAAAACAAAAAACTTTTTTTTACTTGTTAGGTTGCTTTCTGACATCATTTGCAGATCTAAGTTCATCCCTTTGATCTGCAGATGAATGAACTGAATATACAAAAATAACAATATGTTACATTATATCTTTATATAATAGCATCTGGAGCAGTGATGTTTTATAAACACTTACCTTAGGTTCTCATCTGTGCAGGTTTGCAGGGCACATTTGCGCAGTCATATGGGCTGCCATGTCTGCATTTCCTGCAGAAAAAAGGTTCCTGCACTTTTTTGGAAATGCAACCGCCAGTAAATGTCATAATGCTTTTGCACCATGAGATTTCCCTGCGGTTCCCGCACCTGCAAATGCACTGCGATTGGAGGTGAGTAAGGGTGCCATTAAGAATGAATAGCAGCCCTCTAAAAAGCAGTGTATTTTGGTTGTGGATGGTTGCAAAAACAGCTGTGATCCCCCCACCCACAACCACCCCGCATAGTGTGAATGAAGCCTGATTCAGACTGTTTTCTGACAGCTAGAGCTGACAACTTCCTCTCCCAGTATACATTAGTGCAGCTTTGATTAAACACAGCCAGTCATTACTGTATACTGGGAGGGAGGTCCCAGAAGCAGGGCAATGTGATTGGATGTGCTACACATGCCCTGTGTACAATAATAAAGTTTTCTGGGGCTTGTGTAGCGCTCTCATAGTCTGCAGCCAGTTAATGTTGATAACATTCCTATTGCAAACCATTTGTATTTTAGCCACAGTGGCTTTATAGAGTTTAACACCAATAAAAATGTACCATTAGTAGTAGTAACTACTTATAAAGATGTACTCAACCATAAAGCCTCAAGTCCTAACTATTTTTTTAAATACAGAATAACACATAAATAGTAAAAGACTCAAGGCCCAGCATAAAGCCCGGGCAGAATAACACATTAAATACATAGTGTCCACAATGATTTACCATAACAAAAGGAAAGGTAGGGAGGGAACAGCTCAAGATCCAGATGATCCCATGCTGACACCCCAGAGATGAGGAAAAAAAAGTTAAAAGACAGAAGAACCTGGCCATTGGTGAAGCAAGACCTTCACTTCGCATAATGAAGCTCCAATCAGAGGTAAGGTATAGTTCAAAGATCTTCCCGGATAGAAGCCTTGTTGACTGTTCTGCCCAACAATGGCACGATTAAGATCCAACTAACAGTTTTCCCCAGAGATAGCAATACTTTTCTGACAGAAATTGGACCAGGCAGGTAATTATATATAAATGCAGGGTATCTGACAGCTCCATGGGACCACAGCTAAAGCTTAAACCCCTACAGGAAAGTGTGAGGGTCAAGAGAAATGCAAGCAAAGACAAAAAAGATGACACATGCCCTCTTAAAATCTTGGCAACCATGTATTACATTTAGCTTTTGGAGTAAACACACAAACACGGTAATATTGTTACCAGTGACCCACTCAGAGGACCCACTCAGAGCAACTCCAGGACTAGTTTAAGCAGAAAGCAATGATTTTGGAATGTGGGAGGAAAATCCATTGAAATTACTAGGCTATTGTACTAGCTTCAAATAGTTCATACACCTGGTGAGAGTATCGGATAAATGATTGTCCTGGTTTTTTTTGCATGCTAGTCCCATATCGAAAATGAAGAGGTCACTAAGGTTATGAAAATTCTCATAAGACAGAATACAATTTCGGAACTGATGTATTGTACTGTATTGCATTGTAATGTAATGCATTCTTTAGTTTCTGAGTATGCATGGTCTTGGTTACTCGATTTTTTTACGGAAGAAAACTGTACTGATTAACCGCCTCCCGCCCACCATATAGTAAAATGATGGACGCAAGGCGGTTCTCTCGTTCTGGGAGGACGTCATATGATGTTCTCCCATTCTTACCGCGCATGTGCCGAAGAAAGAGCCGAAGATGTCGGCTCAGTCATGTGATCAGCTGTGTCCAATCACAGCGGATCACATGTAAACCGGGAAATGCCGGTTATCTGCATTTCTCTCCTCACGAGCTGTCACACTGACAGCTCATGAGGAGAGCCGGTAATTTGCATTCCTCAGAGGGGACATGTACACAGATCATCAGAGCACTGATGATCAGTGTGCCCTGATGATCTGTGTAGCCCCAGCAGTGCCATCTGTCAGTGTCCATCCGTGACAGCTGTCAGTGCTCATCCATGCCACCTGCCAGTGCCCATCAGTGCCACATTTCAGTGCCCATCAGTGCCACATCAATGCCACATATCAGTGCCCATCTGAGCTGCCTTTCAGTGTCACCCATCAGTTCCAGTCAGTGCCACCTATCAATGCCAGTCAGTGCCACCTATCAATGCCAGTCAGTGCCAACTATCAGGGCCAGTCAGTGTCACCTATCAGTGCCAGTCAGTTGCGCCTATCAGTGTGCATCAGTGCCACCTATCAGTGCTCGTCAGTGCTGCCTATCAGTGCCACCTAACAGTGCCAGTCAGTGCCGCCTATCAGTGCCAGTCAGTGCCGCCTATCAGTGCCATATATAAGTGCTGCCTTTCAGTGCCCATCAGTGATGCCTGTCAATGCCCATCAGTGCCACCTACCAGTGCCTCCTCATCAGTGCCCATCATTGCCACCTATCAGTGTCCATTAGTGCAGCCTATCAGTGCCCATCACTACAGCCTCATTAGCGCACATCAGTGAAGGAGAAAAATCACTTATTTACAAAATTTTATAACAAAAACTAAGAAAAAATGTGTTTTTTTTTTTCAAAATTTTCAGTGGTTTTTGGTTTGTTTAAGAAAAAATGAAAAACCCAGAGGGGATTAAATACCACCAAAATAAAGCTCTATCTGTCACAAAAAAATTTAAAAATTTAATATGGGTACAGTGTTGCATGACTGCGCAATTGTCATTTAAATTGTGACAGCGCTGAAAGCTGGAAATTGGCCTGGGCAGGATGGGGGTATAAGTGCCCTGTAGGCTAGTGGTTAAATTAAAATCATTAGTTATCGTATTGTACAAGAAAATATTCATGCTTGTCCCTTTGGAAAAGTTTGCATGAACTGTCATGATCGGCTCTTGAAAGCTGTGTACTAAAAGTTAGATTATCCGGAGATCACTTTGAAAGCGGTATTTTTTCATCGATTTTCTCATGGTGTGTACTAGGCTTTAGCGCCCTGGTTAGATTGACCTCAAGAACTCTGCTATAAGGCAGTAGCATTACCCAATCTGTCACACATCACTGTAAGTCCCTAATGATGTCTTTTGTATATAACATCCACTTAGCTCACTCTAAGTCTAAGATAAGGGAGCTCACTATGTATACACTATAGCAGCGTTTTTCAACCACTGTGCCGCGGCACACTAGTGTGCCGTGAGATATTGTCTGGTGTGCCGTGGGAAAAATTCCAATTTCATCTGTAACATGTGGCTTCGGCTCACAAATAGACCAATCATTAGAATCTAATGATTCAGTGGTCGGCAAGCCGCGGCTCGCGAGCCACATGCGGCTCTTTACCCAGTCTAATGCGGCTCTTCTGTGTGCCGGGCGCCTGCTCCCCTCCTCTCGGTCGGTCGGCCGCTCCCCTGCCTCCTCTCGGTTGGCAGCCCCAAAAGTCCGCGCGGACCTTTTAATCCGGCTTGCGGATGTGGCTGTCAGGATGTGTGTAGGCGGGGCAGCGTGCCGAACGTGAGGGGAGGGGAGCTAGGCTCCTCTCACAGTCCGCCCTGAAGACCCGAACGGCGCGGGAAGACAGCGAGAGGAACGCAAAAGGTAAGTGAATTGACACGGGGGACTTGGCTTACTAGAAGGGGGGGGGGAATAGTACTGTGGGGGATGAAATACTATATGAGGGATGAATTACTTTATGAGGGATGAAATACTATATGGGGGATGAAATACTATATGAGGGATGAATTACTTTATGAGGGATGAAATACTATATGGGGGGATGAAATACTATATGGGGGATGAATTACTATATCAGGGATGAATTACTATATGAGGGATGAAATACTATATGGGGGGATGAAATACTATATGGGGGGATGAAATACTATATGGGGGGATGAATTACTATATGAGGGGGATGAAATACTATATGGGGGGATGAAATACTATATGAGGGATGAAATACTATATGGGGGATGAATTACTATATGGGGGATTAATTACTATGGGGGATGAATTACTATATGGGGGATTAATTACTATGCTTACTATGGGGGAATATTACTATACTTACTATGGATGACACATACACATCATTCATCTACTCTTGGTCCGGCCCCCGGGTCCAATTATAAAATACTTTATTATTTCATAATAAAGTAATTATAAAATAATTTCTTTGTGTTTGATTCCTATTCAAGAGAATTACTTTATATATAGTCAATATAGGCACAGAGGTAAATTTTTTTAACATTTTCTAATGGTGGTGTGCCTCGTGATTTTTTTCATGAAAAAAGTGTGCCTTTGCACAAAAAAGGTTGAAAAACACTGCACTGCACTATAGTGTATGTAATGCTTAGTTTCAAGGTCATTTCAAATACAAAATGAGATTAAACCAAAGTTTTCTTAACCATTGTTTCTTTTTGATACAATTCAGCTATTTGTTTTACTAATAGAAGTATATTAGTATATTGGCTAATATTTAACCATTTTCTATGGCTCAGGAGTGCATTCACCTTATCAGCTTTTCAGAAGGTCACACATACAGTACAATACGCAGCAAGCATTTTAAAAGGTGATAAGCATCAAGTATGGAAATGTGTTGAAAAGAACTGTTGTACTTCTTGATTTATTTTCCTCTCTGTGCAATGTCAGTAAATGATGTACCTTGCCCCCTACTCTGCTCTACACACAAAGTGCCAGAAATGACATCTGGACATTTAAATAACGTCCTTCTTCAGTTTCACTGTCAGTGCTACTAGGAGTATATAGTAGCGTAGAAGAATAATACAATCAGCCCTTGTAAGAAAGTACTATACTGAAAATATCATTGCAGTCATAAATGGCAATGAATAAAGATAAAAAATTAACTACATATCACTGAACTTTCCTATTGCTTCCATTGGTTACAGTTAATGAACAATATAATGAACAGACCAGTGCAGTCTTTGTGCCCAGTTTGTGAAATTACAGTACAATGCAATACAGAAAAAAAAAAAAAAAGTTTCCTGAGCTTGGTCCCAAACCACACTCAGGTAAGTTGGCACTGCTTTTTTGTGTTCTGTGAAAGGGTTTGTATAGGACTAGCCATGCATGAGAACTGATGGTGAAGGTGTTCTCTGAGTAATGAGTAGTATAGGTGGTGCTAAAGGCTAGCCATGAACACAGATTTAGGTGTCCGTTTATGACACAGAGAATAGCTGCGATTCAGAGGATCGCAGCTATTCTCTGGTCATTCACAGTTTATGACACTCAGGAGATCAGCAGAGAACATGTTCAGCCCTTCACTGGAAGCTGGAGAATCGGAGAAACCGCAAACTAAGCAGTGATAATTTACCTCTGCTTAGTAAACTGATTTTTTACTGTAATCTCGCGAGATTATAGTAAAATCAGCCGTTTTCCAGCATTTGTAGACCGTTCTCCCCTTTATTCAGAGAACTGCTTCATAAAAGGCATTCACAGAAGAACTGTGTTCTCCGAGAATGCTGGAGAACTGAGCAGCGATCATTATCGCTGGTTCATAAACGGACACCTTATTTAGTTCATCTACGCAAACTGAATGAGAGAAATCACTTGATTTAGCCAGTTAACTTTAAGGGCTGGTCCACACCATATAAACGTGTTCCAGATGCGTTTCTGTATGTGTATTTTTGATGTGTTCCGGTACATTATTGATGCATTTCGGTTAATTTTTTCCCCTCTCTTTTTCTTCAACTTAAATAAGGACATGTGCGTTCCAATCTTTTTTTGGTGCATTTAGGTGTGTTTTTGGATGCATTTTACTACGTTTCAGTACAGTTCAGTGTAGAAAAAAATCCAGCATGTTCTACTTTTTTTCTGGAGCTGGAACACACTGGAACTGACTGCACTGGTGTGAACTATGCCATTGGAAACCATGTAACCTACTATCAATGAGTTTTTGATGCAGAAAAAAAATGCACTGGACTGCATGCGGTGTGAACTGGCCCTAAAAGAGTTTAGTTTAATGGAGAGCTATTTTGGTCATACTTCTCTTTTGGGTCACAGGAGTGCACTTACTTTTGCTCCCCTGTGACCCAAAATCATCTGATAGCAGGCTAAAGCCCACTGCCAGTTGACATCACAGAGCTCTAGAAGGATCCTGACTGTATTGTCAGGATCAACTCATCTACCTGGTCGACAGCTGGCTCAGGCTCACAGCACGCAGCGGAAAGCCAAAGCAAGCTCTACCTGCCCTCTTACCAACCTCAGGGCTCCAGTGAGGGCTGGAGGGGCAGAGCAGAGAGCAGTGACTGTCAGTCATTGCTCTCAGCTCTGAAAAAACTGAGAGCTGAGCGATCAGCTGTCATGTGATCAGTCACGTCTTAGGTTTAGAGCCTGATGCTGCAGCATGGAGGTGGGTATGTATAATTGATTTTTATATACCCCATACATCTCCTTAATAATAATAATGACTGCATGATGATTAAACACAAGCAGGGCCCTCTGATTCCTCTTGTACTAAATTGTATTGTAATTGTAATGTCTACCTTCATTTTGTAAAGCGCTGCACAAAGTGTTGCGCTATATAAATTCTGTATTATAATAACTTCTACTAGTCACACATGTCTTGAATTTTGGACAGTTCCAGCTGAATCTTTCCATCTGACCACAAACTTCAATCTGAAATCAAAGGAGTCAGGCAGAAAATTTACATCTGAACAGTGACTTCATCCAATCATATGCAGTGACTGTTGGGGTATTCTGACAGCCAATTCATTCTGTCAGAATACTATGGCCAGTAGGGGAGTTTCTTCCACTCATGTTGCTTAGCATTATCCAGGCAGCAGCAGAATTTAGAAATGATTTGTATACATTAAAGTAGATCTAAGCCCTAACTGGAAGACGATGTTTGCTAAAGCTTTGTGTATCATAAAACTATATCCAGTATAGTTCTACTTACATAAAATACTGTTTTCACCTTTTTCTTATGTTTTCCTGCCTCAGTGCTGCTGATCTCCTCCAGCTTTTTCAGCCACTTCCTGTCTTCAGAAATAATTTTGGAAAATAGGAAAGAACATGGACTTTTTAGGCATTAACTAGATGGCTATTTTAAAAAAAATAAAATTTTTATTATTTTAAAACTTAGACCTTCATAAAACCAGAATTTAAATATTCCATTAAAATACACAGACATTTAATCAAATTGGTACTGAGCTTTTCTCGTAGTATGTAGCTTCCTACACACGATAATAATCTAACATCACCAGAACATTATCCATATGTCCTTGTATAACTTGCCCTCCTGGAGGATTTACCCCCCCCCCCCCC